AGACTCAGAGATAACACCCAGGTTTGGGTCTGAGCCACAGTAAACAAGGACATGCCCCAGGGACATCAGAGGTCTCTCTGCATTGGGATTAAGAAGAGAGGAGGAAGCCCTGGCATGTCCAATAAACTCAATCATCTGGAAGATAGCTCAGTAGGTGTATCCTTGACCTAGCATTGTGGGAGAAGATATGTCTGGAATGTGTGTTTTTGGGAGGAGTGAGAAAGGAATGTCAGCAGGCAGGATGTCTACAGATGGGGAGTTAGAAATCTGTCTTAGTATTGGTGGGACCCAGTTCAAAAGAGACTTCAGAGGGATTGATGGTTTAGATGGGTAATCTACATAGGACCTGTTTAGATGACCTTCAGTAGAATGAGGGATGATGTATTAGGATAATAAGGTTAGCTGTAACAAACAACTGAGCTATAACAAAGCCACTGACACTTCTCACTCACGTTCTGTAGTCCAGTGAGGGTCTAGGGGACAGGGGTAGCTCTCCTCCATCCATTCATTCAAGGCTAGGTTCTTTCCATTCTGTGGTATTGCTACATATGGCCTCTAAAATCATCACAGAATGGGAAGAGGGAATGCAGGTTGTATGGGAGATTTTCAAATGAGTCCAGCTAGAAATGGCATACATTGCTTCTGCCTTCATTCCATTGTTCAGAACTTGATCCCATGGCATCTGTTTGACTGCAAGGAAGCTGGGAAGTGTAGTTCAAATTTGGGAGGTCCTGTGCCCAGAAAGAGATACACAAATGTTGGTGTGTGTTGTGGAGCGCTAGTAGTTTCTGGCGCAGGCAGGGAGAATGGCTGTGCATCTTGTAGGGGTCACAGTGGTGTCTGTCCTGGGCTGGGCTGGGAGTGTGCTCTCTGAGAATACCTTGGAAGGAAGCTGATTTGAGAGGATGTGTATGAGTGGTGCACAGCCATGTGCTTTGCAGCTCAACAATCATTCCATTCTTTCCCTTTCTCAAGGTCTTCCACTGGATAAGATCTTAATTCTCTCACACCTTATCACTGAAATAACCTTGTGAATGCTTTATCCTCTACAATTTTCCCACATCAAATCTAACTGGATATTATAGTCTAATTAATCTTCCTAAGACTTGGCCTATGTCATGCAATCCCTGTTCAATAATAACAATAACAATTTCAACAGCAGCAGCAATAATTTGTTGAATTACTGTGTGGAGCACTTTGAATGTAGTATCTCAATATATCTCGATCTTTGTAACAAGCCCATGATGTATCATCATCATTCCCTGTGTACAGATGGAGCAACAGGAGTCCTGAGAGGTTCTTGCTGTGCTAACACAGTAGCCACTAGTCATGTGTAGCTACTTAAATTAATTAAATTTAATTTAATTGATTTAAATTAAATAAGTTAAATTTAAATTAATTTAAATTAAATACAATTAAAAACTCAGTTCTTCAATCACACTAGTCACATATCAAGTATTCCATAGCCACATGTGATTAGTGGCCACCATTGTGGAGGGTGCAGATACGGAATATTTTCTTCCAGGCAGAAAGTCGATTGGATTGGACATCTGTGAGTTAGGGGCACTTGCCCAGGGTCACAGCAAATGGTGAAGCTGGGCCTCTGACCCCACCTGAGCCTAATGCTCTGCAATAGCTCTTTATTGCCTCCACAATTTAAAAAACGTTTAAGCCTGGCCTTAGCCTTGTACAACCTGGTCTAGTACTACTTGTGCATAATTATTTCTCTTTCTTTTCTTGCACAGTCTCACTTTCCAGCACAGCAAGCTTGCTCACTGCTCTTTCATGCTCCCAATATGTCCACTCATAATATTTTTGCTCTCCTCCTTCTGTCTGCTCAGCTAATGAATTCTCCCCTGACCTTTAGGTTCAGATAGCTGAAATAGCTCTTGAAGCAGTTTCTTCTCTTCCATTCTCACTGCTTCTGCCTGAACCGACTCTGAAGGCCCTCATCATCTCTTGCCATGGCAGCCTTCTGCTGCTACTAATTCCACTTCCTGACATTTATTGAATATCTACCATGTGCTAGGCACTCTTCCAAGCACTCCTCTTCATAACACTTTGAAGTAGGTATTACTGCAGTCTCCATTTTAAAGACATGGTAATTAAAGCACTGTGGGGTGAAACTTGTCCAACTTATCTCTCTGCTTCTAGTGTTTCACAGGCAGTTCGCCTTCACTCTATTACTCTGGCCATAGTTCTAAAACACAGAATTGTAAGTTTTCTCCCCCAGCCCCAAGGGGAGAGGGACAGCCTTCTTTTTTTTTTTTTTTTTTTTTGAGATGGAGTCTCGCTCTGTAGTCCAGGCTAGAGTGCAGTGGCCGGATCTCAGCTCACTGCAAGCTCCGCCTCCCGGGTTCACGCCATTCTCTGGCCTCAGCCTCCCGAGTAGCTGGGACTACAGGCGCCTGCCACCTCGCCCGGCTAGTTTTTTGTATTTCTTAGTAGAGACGGGGTTTCACCGTGTTAGCCAGGATGGTCTCGATCTCCTGACCTCGTGATCCACCCGGCTCGGCCTCCCAAAGTGCTGGGATTACAGGCTTGAGCCACCGCGCCCGGCCAGGGACAGCCTTCTTAACAGAGCATGCAAGGTCCTTTATGTTCAGAACCTTTCTAATCTCCAAACCCGCTACTCCACCTTCAAACTTGACATTCCAGCCACAAATGACTTACAGTTTCCCAAAGCGGCCACATTATTTCTTCCCTCCGGGCCGTCACACATGTGGTTCCTACTGCCTGGGGTACCATCCATCCTGGCCAGCTCTGAAGCCATCCATGGCAATGCACTCCGGACCACGGGGCTTGCTCCCTCCTCCACAGGACGAGCACTTACTCTCCACCAGCGGCTCCTAAAGGAGGGCTGGTGCTGAGCTCACAGCCTTGACATCACTTCTCATTAAAATACACACTCCAAGATTCAAAATTTAATAGGCAGGGGTAGGGCTGGGTTTATTTTTTTATTTTTAAATAAGCTCCCAGATTATTCTAGAGTGAGGCAAATGTGCTTAACACTGGTTTACATCCCTTGTTTGGCAATTAAGCACACCCTGTCTAGATTCCTTGTGTATAATTGCTTTTGTTCTTATTTTATTCTTACCTTCATTCACTCACACTCACCTATTCAACAAACATTTATTAAGGGGTCATTATATGCCAGACACACTTTTAGGTGTTGATGTGAACAAAACTGGCACTGTCCCTGCTCATGAAGTTTATGGTCCAGAGGGGATGTGGTGGGTGGGATAATGGCCCTCAAAGATGTTCACGTCCTCATCCCAGAACCTGTGGACATGTCACCTTCCACAGCAAAGGGATTTATTTTGCTGATGTAATGAAGTTAAGGATCTTGTGATGGGGAGATTATCCTGGACTATCCCCTTAATCACAGGGGTCGTTAGAAGGGAAAAGAAGGAGGAAGTGGGAGTGAAGGCATGTGGGTAGCCTCAGTCTAGAAGCTGGAAAAGGCAGCCAGGCACAGTGGGCTCACGCCTATAATCCCAGCACTTTGGGAGGCTGAGGTAGGCGGATCATCTGAGGTCAGGAGTTCGAGAGCAGTCTGGCCAACATGGTGAAACCCCATCTTTACTAAAAATACAAAAGTTAGCTGGGTATGATGGTGGAAGCGTGCAATCCCAACTTCTCAGGAGGCTAAAGCAGGAGAATCACCTGAACCCAGGAGGCGGAGATTACAGTGAGCTGAGATCACACCACTGCACTCTAGCCTGGGTGACAGAGCAAGACTCTGTATCAAAAAAAAAAAAAAGAACCTGGAAAAGGCAACGAAACTGATTTTCCCCTAGAGCCTCCAGAAGCAAGGTAGCCCTGATGTCCCTTTGATTTTAGCCCAGTGAGACCATTATTTGGACTCCTGACCTACAGAACCGTAAAATAAGTTTGTGTTATTTTAAGTCAGTAAATTTGTGATAATTTGTTACAGCAGCAAAAATAATAATAATAATAATAATGCAAGGGGTCTTGGTTATGTTTTGTGCAGGTATATGATGGGCCTCCCCATGTGGATCCTAAGTGCTCTGTCAAAGCCCTTGTTATTGTGCTGAGACTTTCTCTCCAGCTCCTGGCCGAAGCTCACGTGGGAGCTCAGTGCACTCCTGCTACAGATCTGTCTCTTCCTTACAATAGTATGATCCCGAGGGTCAGGGTGAGGCGTTTAGGAGAATGAGGCTTGTGCTGATAAAAGGAAAGGTGAGGTCGGATGCAGTGGCTCAAGCCTGTAATTCCAGCGCTTTGGGAGGCCGAGGTGGGAAGATAGCTTGAGGCCAGGAGTTGGGGACCAGCCTGGGCAACATAACGAGACCTTATCTCTAGAAAAAATAAATAACAAAAAATATTACCAGGCGTAGTGACACACACCTGTAGTCCTGGCTGCTTGGAAGGCTGAGGTGAGAGCGTTGCTTGAATCCAGGTGTTGAAGGATGCAGAGCTATGATGGCGCCACTGTGCTCCAGCTTGGGCAACAGAGTGAGACTCTGTTTTTTTTTGTTTGTTTGTTTTTGTTTTTTTAAAAAGTAGGGATTTGTGGGGAGCTGTACGTGAGGATAGAGTGTTTGCAGTCAGAAGGTGTTGGTCACAGGGGTTCTCAGACTTTAGTGTGTGGAGGAATCTTCTGCGATATGGTAGGGGGGGAACCTGGTTGATAGAGGGACGGGCAGAAGGAATTCTATTCACAGCGTACTCTAATATTTCGTACATTTTACATATTAATTTTTAACAAGAAATTTTAATTTTAATTTTAAACGAAAATACGCCTCTTATTCAGAGGTAAATATTTTTAATCCCCGCGGCTGGCTTGTATAAAGGCATATTTCCGGTCCCTTCCAAGGTCCAACTATCCTGACACGGCGGGTCTGGGGATGGGCCCAGGAATCCGCCTTTTTAGCAGGAATCCCCCAAACGACACCGGGGCTTAGCAAAGCGGCGGTGGCGTCTGCGGTTCCGGGCGCGGGCGGCCTCCGGCCGGGGAGGGCGCTGTGCCGGCGGCTCTGGGGGCGGGCCGGGGGCGGAGCGCGGGGCTCCGGCTGCTCTGGCGGCTCCCGCGGCTCCGGCTGGCGGCTTCGGGCCCTGCACCTGTGACTCTCGGCAGCGCTAGCCCTCGGCCCGCCTGGCGCCGCAGCCCCATGGCCCCGTCCCGGCTGCAGCTCGGCCTCCGCGCCGCCTACTCCGGCATCAGCTCCGTGGCCGGCTTCTCCATCTTCCTCGTCTGGACGGTGGTCTACCGACAGCCGGGGACCGCGGCCATGGGAGGGCTCGCAGGTACCCCGGGACGCTGGGCGGCGCGGGGCGGGTGCGCAGCTGCGGGGCGGGCGCTGTCAGCTGCTCCAGGACGCTCCTCCCGGGCGGCGCTTCCCCGCGGAACGGGTGGAGTGTTTACTGGAAAACGGCGGTTGACGGCGGCAGGCCCCACGCGGGCCCGGGCTCCTGGGCATTCCTGGGTGCCTCCGGGACCCGATGCCCGGCCGGGCGCCACGTGGGGGTGCCGACGGCCGGCCACTGCCGGCTGCACAGACCTGCCGCGCCGCCTGGGTTATCTGTCCCGGCACACTGCCTGTCGCCCTCCGCCCAGTTGCCCCACGACAGTGTCCCCTCCGCGCGCCCGCGGCGCTGGTCCTCTCCTATCTCCAAACACACACACACACACACACACACGCTTGTTCTGAGGGATCCCCTGCCCCCCGGGCGCCCCTTCCCTGGGTGTTGGGTGAGGGCAGAGAGAGAAGTGGGAAAGGAAGAGGGCTAGGGGTGGCTGGGGAAGCCCATCTGCCTCCTTCCAGTGTGTACCCCATCCTCCGCAGAGCCCTCTGCTGAGACCCACCGGGAGGACCGTGTTAGGGATCTCATAGAAACTGGACATTCTCTTTCCACCCATGTTGGTGCCTTTTTGCCACCCGTCTGCTGTGGCTCCTCAGCCAAGGTCTGCCAAATCCTGCAGCCCAGCCGCCCTTTTTGTGCTTCTGGGAGGGAAGGGGAAGCATCGGTGCGCTGATGGAGGCTCTGGGCTGACCAGTGCTCCTTGCTGTGCACATTTGGGATCGCAGTTTAACCTCTCTGTGCCATAGAATTGATATGAAGATGAAAAATGTTATCTCTACTTTCTAACATTTAAAAAAATGCTTTCTACGTGTCAGGCACTATGTAGGCAACCTGCTTCCGTTATTTCACGTAATCCTTACATTAGTCTCAAGAAGTAGGCATTATTATGATGTTCATTTTACAGATAAGGAAACTGAGGCCTGAAGTTAAATAAATTGCTTACTCGGGATTACACAGCTATATGAGATAATATGTGTGGGAAAGGACTTTGGGAAGAAAATACGGATAAGGATAATACTTTTACATATGCTGATCATATTCCGTTACTAAAATCCTCTGCCAAAAGAACCCTAAATGGAATAACTAAAAATAACTAATTTACTCACTGCCACGGGGCATGCTGAGTGCCATCCCTGGGTAGAGTCGCAGCATGAGGTGGGGTTAATGCCTTAGAAGAGGGGCATACATGGCCCCACCCTGCACAATGCCAACAAAGCACTGGGTCACCAAGAAGGGGGAGTGGGTACCGTGGCTAGGGTGTTCTCTGCCTGCCCAGCTGCCTTACCACCTGTGGGCTCCTGAGGACATCTGGCCCATCTCTGCGCATTATCTACAGAGCCCTAGTTCCTTTCCCCTCTGCACCCCGCCACCCTCCATGTTTTTCAAGGTTCACTTCTCCCTGCCACTTTTTTGTTTCCTATTGGGCCTATTGCTTTCCCCTCTGGAAGATGGCGTCAGAGCCCTGTGATTGCATTGCTAAGACCTAAGGCGAGAGAAGGATGAGGAGGGAGGGCCAGCCTGGGATCTCAGCGGGTTATGTTGAGTCTGGCCTGGTGCAAGTGGAGGTGAGCCCTACCTGGCCGTCTGACCCCATCCTGGGCCACAGTTTCCTCATCTATTAGGAGTGGGAGGAGATGTCCCCGAAAGACATCTGACTTCCCTCCAGATCTGAAATCTTGCAGTGCTGCCCACTCCCTGAGTCTCCAGCTGCCTCCTAGAGGGCTGTGGAAAAGGCCTTCTTTCTTATACTCTAGGGAGTTGCCTGGGATTTTCTTCCGACCCAACGCTGCCCTCTCTCCCTCCCTACAGGCTTCCCTTGGCCTATGTGGCAGGCCAGCTGTGGAGCTGCCTTCAGAGAGAGGTGCCAGGGCAGCAGCCAGCTGGAGTAGGGTCCTGGCATCTCCCTGATGGTCTGATCTTTGACAGTGGCGGTGGAAGAGCCAAAACTGCTTGGTAGTGGTGGTGGTGGATGGTGGCAGCGAGAGGGATTGCCAAGCCTGGGCCTCCGACCTTCCCCACCATGAGTGGGTTCTCAGAGGGTCTGTGGCCAGTCAGCCTTCTTCCTCTTTTGGGGGTAAAGTGTCAGCAGATTTACTAACTTGTGAGCACCCTACTTCTGACTCAGCATTTTATAGCTCAGAATCTGCTGAGTCACCCAAGGGCAGCCCCAGTGTGCTCCTTCTCCCGTGTTGGATCAGGCAAGGACTGATTGGGTGTGCCGGTTTCTGGAGCAGAGTCACGGAGCTCCTGGATCTGGTGGGCAGAGTGTTCACGGGTGGGGACACCCTCTCCCATCCTGATGGGCACCTTCGAAGAAGTGGCTTTGGAGAAAGGCAGTGGCAGAAGCAAGGCTGTTTTTCCTGGGGAGGCGGGCAGGTGTGGGTTGGATCAACCTGGTCTGGCTTTGCTGTGGGAGCCCTAGGGGAAAACACAGACTCTTGCTCTGGGTTTAGTAGACCAAGGAAAGAGGAAAAAGAAAAGGTGCTCCTGGAGTCTAAACAGCTCTAGGTTTTTCCCACGTGAGCTGTGAGCAAGAGCCCTGGAGCTCCAGGACTGTCTTCCTCCTAGGAAGGAGTAGAGGGGCCTGACCTAGGCCCAGTGTCCTTCTTGTCTGCGTTTACCCTGTGGGATCCCCCACGTGTCTCCTGTCTCCTCACCTCCAGCCCAGCCACTGGGGATGCTTTCACCGCCCTACCCTATGCCTTCCTTGCCCTTAGCTTATTGCCTGTGTGCCCAGAGGCCAAGCAGGGGCTCTGCTCCTTGAAACAGGTAGGATGGAGCAATGGTGTGGTCTGGTGTGGGCTTGCAGCTAGTTGGGGTTGGTAACCTGTCCGTTCCACCCCGAGTTTTACAAACCAGGCTTCCTAGAGTCCCCAAGTGTGCTAAGGAAGGGTATTAGGGAGGTACATTGCCTCCTGCCTGATGCGTGGGAGGGGACCAGTGAGGGGCTCCACCTCCTTCAGTGACCCGCTTGGGTAGGGCTGGTGGAGAGCTCCCTTCCCAGGAGGGTGGTAGGAGCCAGGGCGTGGGCAGCAGGCCTGCCTCCAAACTTGGTGTGTGTTTATCTGGAGGGGAGGCCTCTGTGTAGGGCCTGGAGCAGGGTTGAGGGAAGGTGAGAGGTGGTTAAACCATGCCTGCTTATTAACAAAGAACAGGCCCTGAAACACCGCAAATGGCTGTCTTCCTCTCCCTCCTGCTGTCAGCCCTCTTTGGTACATGCGTGTACGTGGGGGTGGGAGTTTTGGGGAACCACTGGATCGTGATCAGTGGACTAAGAGATGGCATCTTCACGGGCCCCTATTTCAGCATTTCCTAACCCAGAAACTGCTGAGTCACAGAGGAATTGTTCTGACCTTATTTTTCTCCCAAGCTGGCTTCTAGAATCTTTGAGTGGGAAAGGATCTTAGAGCTCAACTTCCCCAACCCCTTGTGGTATGAGGAGACAGAAGGCGAGGGGACCTGTTCCAGACAGGTGCCCATCAGACTGTTCCTTGAGTGTGCTCAGTGACAACAAGCCTTGTGCCTAGAGCCCTTTAAGAAACCAAACAGCTCCCTCCAATGAAAACATGGGACACATGTGAGGAGTGGGAGGGACTTCTGGGAAAGGTGGCTGGTATAAAATCCAGATCTTGTAGGAGGTAAGAGGAAGCTGTGAGATGATTGTCCTGTCCACCTCTGGCCCGCTCCAACATCCAGAATAGGTAGGGAGGAACAGATTGTCCTGGCCCACCCTGATCTCAGTGGGAGGGGGACCCACATTCTAGGCCCCCACCCCCTGAGGAAGAGTGGAGGTGGGCAGGGGCAGGGCTGGGAGAGTGTTCGAGGGGTCAAACAGTGGCAGGGACTAAGGGAAGCCGTAGGCTTGGTAGGCCTTCGCCCTCACTAGGGTAGAACCCTGGGCCCAGTTACCCAAACTGCCAGGACCCCTGGGCCCACCCATTTTTAGATGTGGAAACACCAAGGCTTTGGGACACAGCAGTGCCAGGCTCCCGATTTCTTGGCTTGGAGTCTCATGGATTTTTGTTCTTCACTGGACTGCCTGGGGACAGCCGAACTGGGACAGCCTCTGAGCTGGTAACCAGAGCATAGCTCCATGGTGACTAGCTTCCCCCTGCCTTTTTCCCCCTTAAAAAAACTATGAAATATTTTAGGCACATAAAAAAGGATAGACAATTTAACAAACACCCTTTTATTCATCACCCAGCCTAAGAAAATAGCATAGATAAAATAGCATAGATTCCCTCAAAGCACTTCCCCACCCGAACCGCCCCATCAACTTCCCTTCCTTGTCTCCATTGCCAGAGATAACCACTTTCCCCAACCAGATGCTTATCCTTCCTGTGCACATTTGGTAACTACTCTGAGTGGCATGTATGCAGCTGCCTTTTGGAAAGGCCTCCTGACTCCTAGGATGCAGTGGCCTGAGTGGCCCACACCTTGCAGTCCAACCAGCTGAGAGCCTGCAGCTGGCTCTGCCTCTTTCCTCATTTGTCCTTTGCCGGGATCCACCGCCCTGCCCGGACCCTTGCCAATGGAGTTGATGTTTGTTCCACTCTTTGGGCTGCACCAGCAGTCACTGCCTGGCACAGAGGCTTGTTTTGTATTGTATTGTATTGGCTGGGTGGCAGCTGGCATCCTAGGGGAAGTGTCCACCCAGGCGCAGAGACCAGGCCCAGGAAAAGCTGGGACGGGGTGGGGGGTACAGGTGGTGATGGCCTGCCCTTTGCCGCAAAATGGAGGGAGTGGCATGAGGTCTGGCTAAGAACAATAAGGCCACTCAGGGGCTGCGTGACCCCGGAGTCTTCATGGCTGGACCTCCTCATCCTGCAAAACCAACTCAGGCAGTTTGGGAAGAGCCCTGCAGGCCCTGTGACTTTGAGACTGTGGCCTCTGAGGGCTGGGTGGAGAAGGAGCATGGGGCAGGAACATGGCTTCCCTGCTCTGTGGCCCTCAGGGTAGACAGTGACAAGTTCCCAGAAAGCAGGCTGGGCTGCTGAGGCGCAGATTTTCTGGTTTTCAGGATCCTTTTATACTCTTGAAAAGTAGTGAAACTCCATGCAAATTTTATGTATGTGAGTTTTATCTATTGATATATACTATATTAGAAGTTAAAACGGAACATTTTTTAGCATTTTAAAGTAATACTAAAAATAACATGAATTAACATAACATTTTTGTGAGAGAGAGTCATGTTTGCCAAAACAAACAAAAAAAAAAGAGAGAGAATGGTAGGGTTTTGTATTTCTGCAGGTTTCTCTAATGTTGGGCTTACTAGCAGGCAGCTCAGTCTCTTACCTGCTTCTGATATCACAGCCCCTGAAAAGGAAAACTCCATTCTATGAGGGAGTGAGTGACAAGACCATATTCTTGGTATTCTTATGCAAATAGGCATGGCCTAGTGGATCTACAGGGCCCTGGAGCACCCTGGGGATGGGCCCTGATGTGTCTCTCCTGCAGGGGTGCTGGCACTGTGGGTCCTGGTGACTCACATTATGTACATGCAAGATTACTGGAGGACCTGGCTCAAGGGGCTGCGCGGCTTCTTCTTCGTGGGTGTCCTCTTCTCGGCTGTCTCCATCGCTGCCTTCTGCACCTTCCTCGTGCTGGCCATCACCCGGCATCAGAGTGAGGGCGGGTCCCAGGGAAAGAGGGCATGGGAGGGACAGCAGGGGGGATTTTAGCAGCGTTCCCATCCTGGTTCCACAGGTTACCTCCAAAGAGACTGGGTGGATCACTTAACCTCCCTGGGCACGGGTTTTGTTATGTTCAAGTGGAGAAAACAAGTCCCCACCTCCCAAGTTGGGTGGAGTCAGTGAAACTGATGTGAAGTCTTGAGCAGTGCATAGCCCATACAAGCACCCATGATATTGGGACCCATTAGTCTCTGCCCAGCTCTGGGATGGGCGCGCCCTCTGGTGGCTGTGGCTGGAAGTAGCCAGAGGCCCTTCTTCCTGGAGTCTGATGCTAACCAAAGCAGGTTTGTCACGGAAGCAGAGTGGATGATACAGACCTGTGATTGGCCAGCCCTGCCCTTCCCTAATCCCCACGGCCTCCTGCCTGAAAACCCTGGAATGTTCTAAAACGGTCCCCAGCCCCTAGGCCGTGGAACAGTAGTGACTCGTGGCCTGTTAGGAACCAGGCCGCATAGCAGGTGAAGGGCAAGGAAGCCTTACCGCCTGAGCTCTGCCTCCTGTCAGGTCAGGGGTGGGCATTAGGAGCACAAACCCTGTTGTGAGGCACATGCGAGGGATCTAGGTTGCGTGCCCCTGATGATCAAATGCCTGACGATCTGAGGTGGAACAGTTTCATCCCAAAACCGTTTCCCCCAGTTTTTTGTGGAATAATTGTCTTCCACAAAACCAGTCCCTGGTGCCAAAAAGGTTGGGGACCATGGCTCTAAAACCTCCATCACAATCTCTTTCTGAAAGGTTGGTTCAGCTGCCGGGAGGTTGCAGGGATGTTGAGTGGGGAGGGTGGCCCTGGCCTTGTGGCCAGTGCAGAGGCTGAGGGCAGGGCGTGCTCAAGTCACTGTCGGTTCTTCTCTCCCTGCAGGCCTCACAGACCCCACCAGCTACTACCTCTCCAGTGTCTGGAGCTTCATTTCCTTCAAGTGGGCCTTCCTGCTCAGCCTCTATGCCCACCGCTACCGGGCTGATTTTGCCGACATCAGCATCCTCAGCGATTTCTGACCCGGGGGTGAGGTCTCTGTACCCCGGGGGTTCCTTAGGACCTGGACTCAGCCTCTGAGACGTTGGGAGAGGCTACTCCCACCCCCTGGGAACCCCAGAACTGTGGCAGAAAATACACAGCAGGACGAGTGTGGTCTCCCAGGAAGCTGTCCCGCCCGTCCCCTTTAGGGGAGACCTGGGTGTGATAGACAGGGGATCCTGCCATGTTGCTCCTCATCAGCCTGTCCAGAGGGCAGCTTTAGACCTCTTCAAATGGATCTGTTTTCTTTTCTTCTTCTTCTTCTTTTATTTTTTTTTTTGAGATGGAGTCTTACTCTTATCACCCAGGCTGGAGTGTAGTGGCACAATCTCAGCTCACTGCAACCTCCACCTCCCGGGTTCAAGCAATTCTCCTGCCTCGGCCTCCCAAGTAGCTGGGATTACAGGCATCTGCCACTATGCCTGGCAAATTTTTGTGTTTTTAGTAGAGACGGGGTTTTGCCATGTTAGCCAGACTGGTCTTGAACTCCTGACCTCAGGTGATTTCACCCGTCTCAGCCTTCCAAAGTGCTGGTATTACAGGCGTGAGCCACTGTGCCCGGCCTGGATCTGTTTTCTTAGCACGCAGTGAGGAATCTTTGTATGTAAGGCCAGGGCAACAAAGTCAAGAGGTTAAGGGGTAGGGCCATGAGGCCTGGACCTATGCTGCAGGCAAGGGCTTTCATCCCTGCTGCCCTAGGCACTCTCTTCCCAAGGCCAGGATGGGCACCTGGGGAGGTCAGTTCAGGAATATCTAGCAGAGACCTCTTAAGCCCCCATCCCAGCACCCCATCCTGTTGTTCCCAGAGCTGGTCTCCCATGAGTGTGCTACAGCCAGATAGCCATGGCCCCTCACCCATCTCACCCACACACACAGGCATCCATATATCCCAGAGGACTTCCAAATGAGGCCAGACTCAGGGTCATGGGGAATGTGCTCTCGCCCCTGGAAGGGCTTTGGGGAAGGGGGCAACATGGCAGAGGCTGGAAGGAGCCCCCAAACCTGTTCCCATGCCCTTCTAGCCCTGCGTTTCCACTCTGCCTTCTCAGAGTGCCGTGCACCCAGACCACTGGCCAGGAGAGACCTTCTCTCCCACTCCAGCCCCTCACTGCCCTTCAACTAGAGCTTTCACCTTTTTACATTTCCCTTCTGAAGGACACAAATCTGCTTTCCTGCCCATACACTGGCCCAAGGGCTCACCTAACTTGGGAGGGAAGGGGCTGTTGTTACAAGGATGATTTTATGTTAGACTGCCATTTTGCACGGTCTCCCCCTTCCCACCTGATGTGTCCTGCCCCTCAGCTCTTTGCCTTATCTGTGTCACTGTCACTTTAGCAAAAATACAGCGGCCATTTGTATCAGCCTCTGGTGGTTGCTTGTGAGGTGGGAATCTTGTGGGGACAGGTGGACTTTGGGAGGAGTGGGCAGGGAGGGAGTGGTAGTGGCAGTTCTCAGGCTGTCTGATTAAGCCATTCCCCTAGTTCAATTGTGCCCTGGAGGGCAGGGGACAGGGTCAGTCTCTCTGGGGCTGGAGGCCCTCTTGCCTTGGCCCTCCTGGCATGGGGTAACCACCAGCTCAGCTCTCCTCCTCCAGCTCTCCTCTCTCTAGCACACCTCAGCCAGGGCAAGGATGCCCACGGGCATAGCTGCAGCAACCCCTGTGGGATTTGGTGTCCACACCTGAGAGGCCAGGCCAGATGGGAAAGGGATTAACACCTCTTCCCTCACACCCCGCCAGGCTGCTGGGAGCTTGGGCCAGGTCTAAGGTAATGAGGTGCTCCTCTTCCTGCTGGAAAAACCGGGCCAACTCAGAACCACAAAGGCAGGTGCTGCCAGCCTGGCGCCTTCCTCTCTGCTTAGGCTGGGCGAGCTTGTCCAGGCCTGTGCCTCACCCCTTCTCTCTTCTAGGCTCAATGTATGCTTAATCAGGCATAGTGCATCAGAGCAGGAAGGAACCATCAACAGTGTATACTTCTGGAGCCTTCTGCTGATAAACAGAGGCCCCAGAAGACTATTTGACTTACCTGAGCTCCCAGCTGGGACTTAAACCCAGGTGTGTCTGAGTCACAACTGTTTGGGGATGCCGTGGTGAGCTGGGGCTGAGCTCTTGTATTCCCACTCCCCCACCCGACCCCCACTTCCACCATATCAGGGCTAGTCTCTGTGGACTCAGCCCAGGGCTGCCTCCTCTTTGTCACCCCAAAGTGGGGCAGCCAGGGATAGCCAGGGTGTGTTCAGAATGGGTTCTTCCTGCAGGGCACGAAGGGCAAAGAGTTAGAGGGGCTGCAGCCCAGACCACCCTGGTCCCTCCTCCGGCACTGACTCAGACCCACACTGTGCCGTGCATCTGTGTGCCCTGCACAGCCACTTGACGGCACACTGCTCACTTCCGGGGGGGCCTTTCAGAGGCACTTTTAAAGCAAATAAAACATTTATTGTTCAGATTTTTTTCCATTTTGTTCCTTTTTACAAAAACATGCATACATACACAGGGTATGGTGGGTCCTAGGAGAGACACACACACCCCACACACGCTCACACACACTCCTCACTCACGCACATGCTCACACACATTTTCCTTCTTGACCCCAGGCCTGGACCCCCAAAAGCCTTGAAGACTTTGCCAGAGTAGCCTCCCCTCCACCATGTCTGTATCTTCTCTCCCACCCCTTCCCCCTCAGCCAGGCTAGTCCTATGTGGGGTGGGAGTCAGAGCTGTGATGGGGGAGACCCCAGAAACAGAAGGCTCCCCGAGGGGGCAGTGGTCGAGGGGTCCCAGGGGTATGCTGTGCTTCTGGGGGAGATGAAGGGTTTGGCACCATTGGATCAGGAAGCACAGGACTCCCAGAGCACCCATCCGCTCCACCAGGGCATCGCCAGGAGGTTGATGTAGGGGGCCTCTGGCGAGGGCACAGACCAGATGAGGGCTGCCAGTCTCGGCTGTCAGGGAGCTTCGTCTCAGTGCCCGGTGGTAAGGGGAAGCTTCCAGAGTCATCTGAGGAAGCAGGTAAGAGGGACTCCCCCTGCACTCAGGAATATGGGACCTATTGGCTCCCACTACCCGCCAGCCCCTAGAGCCTAGGAAGGGCCAGCCTGTCTGAGGCCAAGTTCACATTTCTGTGTGGAGCCCGGGGCTGTGTGCAAAGTCTGGGGTTTGCAGAGCCAGGAATAGTGGTTAAGGGTGAGCCCGACGGAGCCGGAGCCAGTCCTCCTCTGTGCAGTCCTGAGGAATGGGGGCCACAGCCAGGGCCCACACCGGAGGGGAGAATGTGTTCTCGAGAGCCCTGTGGGGGTCGCTGCCCAGCCCGCCTCCTCTCAGGGTCCTCTCCAGTCCCCATTCTAGACCCAGGGATTTTCTCAGGCTCCCTGGGATGACTGTCAAGGCAGGCAGGCTGTTCTCTCATCCCAACTACCTGCCCACAGGATCTCTAAAGACCCAGGAATGGGGGCTACTGCCAGGGGTTAGAAGAGAACCAGGTCCCAAGGGCATGGTGGGCGGGCAGATGGTTCCAGAGCCTTAGAGATTCATAGGTTCTTCCTCCTCCACCAGTTGCTCCGAGGGCCTGCGAGGAGGGACAAGGGTGGGATGCTGGAGCGCCAGGGCTGCAGGAAGGGCCTTAGCCGAGCTTCCACTCAACCCTGGTCAGGAAGCCTGGGAGGGTTGGGGTGGCTGCATAGGGGACCCAGGGTCTTCAAGCAGGGAGGAATGAAGCGGTGGAGAGGCCGTAGGCCCAGGGCGGGGGGTCTGGCATTACCTGTCTTCAGCCAGGATGCCCACAGAGAGGGATGCCAGTGCGGTCACTGCCTCCACTTCTTCTTTGTCAGCCCCTGGCACTCTAGGCACCCAGGAGTCTGGACAGGAGGCCAGGCGCTGCATGCAGCCCCAGTATTTACCTGGGGTAAGATGCCACGTCAGAAAGGGTTAGAGAAAGCAAGCCCCCCCACACCATGTCCTAGACTGGATATTGGCCTGTCCTCCACTTGGGGTTGGCTCTCCCACCTGCCCCTCTCCTCACTTCGCTCCCCCTCCCTCACAGCCTGACAGGGTAAGCAGAGTGGGTTCAACATGGCTGTGATGGGGTCCTAGCAGGTGCCCAGCCTTTCTCTCATCCCTTGTGGCTGCAAGGCCACCTCTGACTCATTCCCCCACAGGTGCGGGGCTCCTGAGAGCATCAGGAGGGCCTGCTTGCCTGCAGACAGGGTCTGTGTCACAGTGACCTCCCAGAGCCCCAAGCTCGGGCCTCCCACTTAAATGCAGCCCCCACCAGTGCTCAGCCCAGCACTCAGGAAAGCAGGGCCTGGGAGGTGGGAAGAACACGACGTGGGAGAGCTGACCATCACCACGGCCGCTCTGCATGGGTGCCCAGGCCAGAAGAATGCTCCTCCTGCCTGCTGCTGTGAGGAACCATGTCCTGGAACCTGGCTCAGTGTGGGGGTACCCACCGTAAGAGGAATCAGCCATGTCTTTACCATCATGGCTCCTGTACCCAGCCCTTGATATGGGAATCTATTTTATTCATTTTTATCCCTAGTATAGATTATGGGTCTTGACATAAGATGCTCAATAGATATTGAGTTGAAGTTGAAAATTTAAAGTACTTTACAAATGTGGGGGTTATCCTAAGACCCAGCCCCCAAGCCAGCAGAGCTCCTGAGACCCCCGTGGCCAGGACTGAGGGGAGGGATGGGAACCAGGCCTTTTGGCAAACAAGGCCTGAGTGTTGCTGTTCACCTGGCTGTGGTCTAGGACTGTAGCTAGAGATGGAGGCCAGTCCCTACCTTGAGGGGCCACTGTCCGCTGGGCCCTGCTAGGTCCATCGGGAGGGCTCAGAGGACACCCCCTCTCTCGGGGGTGCTCACCATTGCTGCCTGGGTCATTCACAGGAATCTTACTCCAGACCAACAGCAGGTCACCTGGCTGGCACTGGAAGCCCTAGGACTCTGGCCACGGGGGGGCAGGGTACCACCAAGATCCCTCAGTCTGAGCTCAGCGAGTGTCCCATCGCCACACTTACTGTGCACCCGGATCACGGCCTCCAGAGAGCGGATGGCATTGAGGTTGGGTTTCTGTTTCCAGCCTTCTTCTGAAAGGGGATCCACCTATAGAAAACAGTCCATCAGCCACCAGTCTCAGGGACCCACAGGCCCAGCTCACTCCCACCCCAGGGGCCCCGGCCTGCTAGCCACAAGCACACTCTACCTAGGCCAGGAGACGCTGCCCGGACCTAACTTGGAACAGAGGCTTCCGCTTCGCCTACCTCGTTTCAGGCCTGGCCACTCCCACCCTGTGCCATCCCATCTGCCTGCTCTTTGGGTAGTCCTGGGAGAGCCAGGCTAACCTGCCTGACAGAAACATGGATAGGGGAGGGAGATGGCTCACCTTGTTACCCAGAAGAGCAGCCACACAGGCCTCAGAGGCGTCACAGATGGCTGTGAGGTCATGGCCACCCTCCAAGGCCAGCACCACTGCACCTCCTGCCAGGTTCATCAGTTGCTGCGTCATGTACCCAAAACCTAGAGGTTGGATGGGGAGAAATGGGAGGGGCGGGAGTGGAGAGGTGACCCCGTTCCCTACCCCTGTGGCTTCCCTGCTTGCTTCCTCCCTAATAAAGAATGACTCACATATATCAATCACTATTTCCAAAGTGCTTTCACATTGAATGTCGTGCAAAACCTACTAGTATGCTTCACTCAAGGCTCAGGGAGGTTAAGGGCCTGGGAAAAGGCCCCACAGCTAGTAAGTGGCAGCAAGGTAGGACTTGAACTCGGGTCATTGACTCTAGCCTGTGTCTTTTTCACTGAGCTGCACCCTCTCCTCCTTCTGTCCTGTGGGCCCTGTGGCCCAGTGGGCTGAGTGGGCGCCCTCTAGTCTGAGAGTGCTGCTCCTCTCCCCTTCCTCTGGAGGAGCTGCCAGCCCCCCTGGAATCAACCCAGCTGGGGTGGGGAGTCCCATGGGTGAGCTTCCTGCCTGCTGGAATTAAGTCCCGATGAGTATGACCTGGTCAAGCCCTCTATGGTGAAACAGCCTGGTCCTGAGAAAGGGCCTGCGCTGTGCTCAGATCCCGGGGTCCAGCTGCCATACTCCAGTCCTCAGGCTGAAAGTACTGGGCTGGCCACTGCCACCTTCCCTTTCTGACTTGGGAGTGCCTCCCTACTCCCTGCACCACCTCCCCACTGCCCGCACCGCCTCCCCACTGCCCGCACTGCCTGGCTCTCAGTCCCTATATCTCCCCCTCAGCTGAGGCTCCCTTACATTTGGCAGAAACATGGTAGCCACCCAGTGGGGCCGGGTGACCCTCAGCAGCATCAAATCCAGCAGACACCAGGACTAGGTCTGGAGAGAACTCTCGGGCAATGGGCATCA